TATTTCTTCGGCTTGAAACTTGTTAAATGTCCTGGAGGACGGGTTAGTATCTTCCTTTGGTATGAAGCTTCCCAGAGTCCTCGTCCCACGAGAATTACTTCGCGTCAGTTATGGTAGCCCTCTGTTTTATCCCGTTGCTGTCGATAGCCATACTTTACATTATCATCTATCTAAAGCTCAAGTCACACAAAATTCCAGGCGAGCACTCGGTTAACGCTGAACATCAACGCCAGCAAAGAGAGCGAAAAGATGGCCATTGCTATTGTGTTAGGGTTTGCAGTATCCTGGCCGCCGTTCGCTGTCAGCTGGTTTCTCCGCTTGTTTACATCGAACACATGGACTTGTGGCTTCCATTACTTTATCACTCTTGCCATTTTTATGGCTCGAGCAAATTGTGCCATAAATCCTTGCATCTGTCTTCTTTTCAGTAGAAATTATCGTGAAGGACTTAAGACTTTCTTTGGCTAAAGGATTTTTGAGCAGCGCAGCACCGGAACTGATGACACAACGGTTTTAAACTTTTCTTTGAACATAAAGTTTACAATCGCTTTGTAGTTATTCTGTAAACGCCATTTCATGTGTAATTTTCCTAATTTCATGAGAAATGTTCGGCCGTGCTATAAATCGTGTAAACAGTAATTTTTTTCAATACTGCTATTTATTGGATTCAATGTACGCTTGATAAACTTTTTAGAACGGTTTTTAACCGTCCTTTAGAAAGTTCCTTTGCCATCATTTCTAGCTATTTCTTTATTTCGTTTAAAACTTTCTTAAATCAGTATAGCGAAAAATAAAGTGCATGAATTTCAATACTGTATTCATTAGCAAGTTTCGATTTTATTTCCTCTCCTTCTTTCTAATCGCCACTGTTAACTTTCTTCGACTCGACATCATTTTCATAAGCTGCATAGCTGGCTGGAAAAAAAGCTGTCATGTTAAACAACCCAAGTCTGAACCTAATTCTCACGACAATTAGCCTCTGACAAGGCATGTGCATTTGTTTATAAACTAGCAGCGTCTTTCTTGGGAGGCAATTTACATAAAAGTAGAAAACCTCCTGTTTTTTCCCTCGGTTGAGCTCATGATATGTTTGAGTGCCAACTGTTTCTGAAGCAGTCTTTCTATTCACTGGTTTTTATTAGCAGAGCTCTGTACAATAAATTACGAGTCCCTCTTTGTCTTCGAATTTCAATTCATGCTGTTCTCAGTTTAGGGTCTACCGCTACGGCATAAAAAGAAAATGGAACCGTTCAGTGTCTCTCCTATGTTTATGGGCTGATGGTTGCCAGTGGAAATTTGACATTCTTAAAAACTGCATTTCAGTCTCGTGCCTATATTTGGTTTTTAAAACATGAAATATCCGCGGTCAACTAAAAGTCCATAGGCCTTCGATAGAAACGCTCAAGTGTTGCAATACTGAAAATACGGAGAAAATGTTTTAAATAACACTTAAAAAACACCATGTTTCCATCGAGTTATAACGGTTTAGCGATACAGATTTACCGAGCAGTTTATTATTTCTGTTTGTTTTTTTTTATACAATTCAGCTCGCAGTTGGAAAATGGTTGTGTTTACTGAGTGTTTCACGTGAAGCTCTATACTATTGAGTCAATTGTTAATTATCCCAAATATAAATGCTATTGTTATCTGAGAGCTAGATGTCTCCAGCTGCCCACAGGTTGGAAACTAAAAGAACAAAAAATTGAGTAGGATTTGTTCGTTGCTGGAAAAAAAAAATTCGAAAAATTAGAAACGTTCTCTTGTTGCGTTTGATTTTTAATTGTCATTTTTGCTTTTATTCTTGGCTTATGACTATTTAATAAAATAATCCAAAAATATATTTGAAATTCAAACCAAAGAAATAGCGCTCGAAATTTCCGAATGTATCTCAAATGTTCTCAAACTATCCTTCTACAGTAGTACGGCTTCTAGCTCGCGACCTCTTACAGGGTGTCTTGTAAATGCTCTGTGAAACTTTGCAGAAACTTTGCAGAACACTTTTAAACCTTTCTTTGGACACTGACATTGCAATCACTTTCTTGTTTTTCTGTTAATCCCATTCGTAAAACGCCTAGACCATCATGTTTGATAGTAAGAAAGTAAGAACTTTAATCTATTTTAAGAGTGTGATCCATAAAAGATTATTGATTCTCAGGTAACCACCTTTGGTATCCGCGCATTTCCTGTCAAGACCATACTTCCTAACTTCATACGAGTTTCGTATGCGAAATGAATCGTTTAATTGCCTGCATTTTTGACATAGAAACCGTGAGCTGTTTACTTTGTCATTGTTTGTCACCTTGAAAGTGGCGACAAAAAAAAGAAAACTTTCTCGTGCATTGTAAAAAACTTCAGTATCCAATCCTCAAGACATTCAGTGTAAAAAAATCATACGTTAGGCATTCTTTCGTCCAGTTTCAGGAAAACAAATTAATCTTCCTCTCGTCTTCTCTCTTTTATTGTCGCCTCCGTTCTCCGTGTGACTCAAGAGTAGTTTTGTAAGCTGCACCGAGTTGGTTTACTTCATATTCAGCCGCCAGGGACTGATCGAATGCTTTAATTGCCTGCATGTTTATATAGAAACCGTGCGTTGTTTACTCTGTTATAGCTTGTCATCTTGAGAGTGGTGACAAAAAGATCTTTGTCCTGTATTGTAACAAACTTCCGTATCTTACTTCAAAACATTCAGATTACGAAATCATATGCCATGTTTGCATGGTTTATAGACATGCAGCGAGTCTCTATTTAAATTCGTTAAAAGATTGAATTGGATTCTCGAGAAAACATCATGACTCTGCAGAATAAACTAATAACACATTTGCGCGGCAGCCGTTGACTGAGTGGGCCACTCTATCATTATTTATATAATAACCCAAGTAATTCTCGCATTTTGATTGGTTCTCGCCTATGATCTATTAGAGGACAGA